ATTTTAATGGGAAACTTTAAAATTATATGTGTAAAGCAAACGGCATGGCAGAACTTTCTACACATTAAAATTAGAATATTTGTTCATTTTTTCAGTCTTTTAAAATTTATTTATCCCTTCTCCAAGGATTATTTATAAATTTCGTAATATTAAATTCCTATGCAAGGTGCGGGTGATTTTATCATACATAGTTGATTTCCGTATTATATTAGTCATGTACTCTCTTGTTGAGTTCCCTATGAGTTGGAAAGAATTTTGAGACTTATCTTTTGTTCTTATGTTGTATTCTCTTTATGTGATATTCATAATATCATGCTTATGTCAACTAGATTATTTAGAGCCTAATGGGGTCCTATCTGTCATGTCACACAAATTCTATAGAAAATGAAGATAGTTATTAAAATATTTGTGATAGATAGTTGTTGCAACAACTATGATAATTTCTAGAGAAATTACAATAGTTGTTTAAGCATCTAAAGCAATTGCTTAAATTGTTAGAACAACTTAAACAATTGCTTGAGCCGTTGCAACAATAATTGATTTATTATAGCAACTTCTGCATAGTTGCTGCTGGAACTTCGACAATTGTTTTATTTTATTTTTTTGTTAGAAAATAAGGTGGAATAGGAACTTGTGAAGGAGATAGTACATGTGACAGAGGAGAAGATTGGTGGTAATGGTGGAAGAAGAGGTAATGATTGTTATGCTTATGGTGAAGGAGGAGAAGGAGGAAGAGGCGGTGGTAGAAGAGGAAAAAATGTGGTGGAGAAGGAGGAGATGATGGTAGTGTCAATGATGGCGTAAGTAGAAAAGGATAGGAATAATGGTAGCGGCAGAGAGGGAGAGGGAGAGGTGGTAAGTATGAGAAAATAGTATCTTTGTGTAAATAATGAAATTAGTGTTATTAACATTAATTTTCTAATTTTTACCTTTACTCAAATAATTAACTTGTACAACGTTTTCTTAGTTTTGAAATTTTTTTGTCACATTTAAACACATTTCTCGAGTTCCTCTAGAAACTTGGGTTATTTGTTGCGCAGACAGATGAAGCGTTTGAGCACAGGAGTTACTGGATTTGTTGACTTATCATCTATTTACATTAAAATAGTAGTAAATTTGGATTGGTTTTCTCAAGGAGCATCATTCAATACGGATGAAAAAATTGCTAGGTGTTTTCGGAGGATTTTGGATCCATTTTTCTTCTTTTTCCATCATTATGGCCCTAGCGTTCTGTCTCCCTTCATTTTTGTTTTGTAGTTTCAATTCTACCTGAGCTTCATCTAATTTTCATCCCCAATTTAAAATTGTCGATCACAATTAATATGGTTAATTATGTTCTTTTCAGTTGCAACTAAGATTTGACGAAATAATAAACAAGACAAAACTATATATATACACACACATACATATATACACACGCATACATACTTGAAAGAAAGGTATGATGTAAGAATGAATGGAACAATTCTTACGGAAATGATTGATTGATATTTTATTGATAACTCAATATTTTTTATAAAAAGGGAGAGTTCGAAATATTGAAGCTAACAATTGTAAACACAAACACAACTTAATGGGCCTTGATTTCCACCAGTGCAAACTCCATTTCCATTATGTTTTTGTAAACATTCACTTTGACACTCAGCCATGGTGCATTCACTGGCCTTCAAAGTTTCAGAACATCTTTGTTGGGTTTTCACTTGTGTACTTGTCATTGCAACTACATCAAAAAAAAAAAAAGATACTAAAAATTATGTGTTAGGTATAACTTTTGATGCGAAAACACCATAACAATGTTTCAACCTTACAAGTGAAGAATTAAGATTTATATGCATATATTGTCATGGTTTTTGAAATCCATGATAGCAATGAGTAAAACTTCATTGCAAATTCTGAAATTTCATCCAAAAAACTATGATGGAATTTCACTTTCTCTATTTTTATGATAAAGTCATGAATTCCCAAAAGAAAGAGAGACTATTTTTAATGGTTTTTTTAATTTGTTGCTATTTTTCAACTAAATTCTAAAAATTGTCATTTTAAAAATTTTATCAAAAATATTAGCACTGTTATCTTTTATCATAAACACAACCATAAAAATAGAAAAAACAATTTGGATAATAATTAAATTTTTTTAAAAAGAAAAAAAACAAACCTGAAATGATGCGAAAGAAGAAAATGATAAGAGTTCAAAAACTTGGCCATATTGCTTATAGAATTTGATAAACTCAAATGTTTAAAGAAATTTCTAGAGTTGTGTGTTTTGGTAGAGGAAGGTTAAAAGGGCTTTTATAGTGTGAATTTTCTAGATCTATAATATACAAATTATTGGACAATTGAAATAAAAGAAATCATTAATGAAATACAATTACATTAATCAACTTTCAAGATTATGATGTTGCTTCCATAAATGCTCTATTATTAATGCATAAAAATGAGCATTTTTGTTCCTTTTCTTCTTCTTTTTTTTTATGTTCAGCTAAAAATTGTTCAGATTATAGATTTTTCAATTATATTAGTGCAAAACTTTTTTAAAAGAAATTAAAATATCATCATTTTGAGGTGAAAATATTGAATAATATATTTTTTAAAATATTACATTATATTTAAAAAGAAATATAAATATTAGATATTTAATTAATTGCATTATATGTGAATAATATGCTCATTATAAAATAATACATATAATGTTAAATAATGAAATAGAGAGATTAATAGTAGTTCTCCCAATTTGAAGAACTTTATTCACCCCTCTATAAGTAGTAGTAATTTTTTATGAAGAAAAGTCTTTCTTTATAGTAAATAATGAAATAGAGAGGTGAATAGTAGTTCTCCCAATTTGAAGAACTTTATTCACCCCTCTATAAGTAGTAGTAATTTTTTATGAAGAAAAGTCTTTCTTTATGTATAGTAAAAGTTCTTTTAAAATTATATTTAAGCAATCATATCATATATTTATATAAAAGGGAATCCTAGGCCCGCCTACGTGGCGTCACCACAAGCTAGAATCTCCTTTTAAATTTTGATTATTTTCAAAAATAATCTTCCCCTTTCATGAAGAGATGTGGCTTTTATGAATAGCTATGACTTTTATGAAGAGTTGCGATTTTTATGAATAGTGACTCAAAAATAGTTCTCTTTTCATGATAAGATGTGACTTTTATGAAAATTGACTTTTATGAAGAGTTACAATTTTTATGACGAATTACAACTTGTAGGAATATGGCCATAATGCTTTTGTGAACGAATACTCTAGAAAGGATAGTGTGAACGTTCTAGAAATTTCATATTGCTTATAGAACTTGGCCATAATGCTTTTGTGCCTTATCGATGAGTTTTCACCTTTTCGATAAGGCACAAAAGTATTCTTTCACACTATCCTTTCTTGAGGGATTTCCTCTCGTTTTAAAATAACGAGAATTCTGAACTGTTACTTCTTGTTTTTTTTCTGCACAATTAAATATTCAAGTATTTTGCTCGTGTTGAATGACTCAGAAACCATTGTTTCTCTATCAATATAAAAAAATCGGTCCATCTTGAAAGGATCTATTCCATTAAACCTCGAGTATCATAGTGCCGGCCACGACCAGGGTGTAGGCTCGGAGCGTGATAGAAGAGTTGTGACTTTTACATCAAAAATTTTTACTTATGTAAAAAGTTGTGACTTTTATAAAACGTAATATAAATATATTGTAAAGATTAATAACAATATCATGAACTTGATAAATGTCGTTGAAATTCTTGATTGCCAAAGATAAATAAATAATAATGTTTTAATTGAAACAAGTAATAGAAAGTATAATTGCGGTAAGGAAATTATTTTTCACTCATAAGCAGGGAGATTATTTTTCTTCTTTCATTATATTAATTACAAAAAATAAATAACAATCTTTAAATACGTGATGAATATTTTTAAGTATAGCAGCAAAAGAATTCATGACCCCATCTCTACTTTGGAGTGTGGTTTGAAGTTCTGTAAAGGGAATAGTGTTAAATAACATATACTTGAAGATAGGCGTGTATAAAATTGAATCGAAAATTGAGTTAAATTGGAAAAAGTTGACTAGTAGTTTAGTTTGACTTGGTTTGATATTGGAAAAAAAAATCCGACTATATATGGATTGGATTGGTTTTAACAAAAAAAAATAATTCGAGACCAAACCAACCCGACATTATATATGCAATTTTAAAATTTTATTGTATACATAAAAATATCTGATTTGATATAATTTTAGAATATTTCTTATAGATTTCATAGTTTTTATCTTTTATTATACTATTTCATGTTTAAAATTTAGAATTCGAAATGATCTAATAGAGATTATAGTACATACATATTGATAATTATAATAAAACTTTAATCAAAATCAAATTAATACTACTGTAAAAATGAAATCAATTCAACGCTAATAATGACAATAATATTGAATATATATTCTTTAATTTTACATTGGTTTAGACGATTAAAATATGTCATTTAATTTTAATTTTCCTTGAATATTTAGTAATGTAATCAATATTTATTAAACTTATTTTAGTATGACTTAGTACTTTTAAGTTATGGTTATTTTAGTTATGACTTTACAACATTTATTTTCTATGATAATTTCATTATTATTTTTTGATAAATATTTTTGTATCATCAATACTCATCTCATATTGTTATTTACTTAAAAAAAACACATTAGATAATTGTATTTTGGTTGGACTAAAGAAATATTTGGAGCACAAATTAATTATATGTTAGTATGCAAACTTAACCGAAAAAATCCAAAAATCTGAAAAAATTAGAGGTTTATTAGTTTGATTTGATTTATAAATTTAAAAGTTCGACAAAATGGTTTGATTTGGTATTTGAAAAACCCGACCAACCCAAGGTTGAAAAATCCGAATTTTATTAATTTGGTTTGATATAAAAACTTAATCAACCTGGTCATGTACACCCTACTTGAGGATAAGTAATATATGAGAATAATATGATTAAACCATAAATTAAAGTGTTCGTGTGACAAAAAATTAATCAGCTATGACAAAATTAATAACTTAATACATAGAGATATGTTCATATGAAAGAATGACCAAACCAGTTACAAATTACTCTGTACATAAGATACAGAAGGAATCACCATAAGTTGCTATCTTCCATTTGTGATAGCAGCAAATCTGGATTTACTTCTTCCTCTCTTCCCAAAAAAATGATAACGAGCACATGTTCATATTGTGATCGTGGATAAATTAGGAACATCGTTGACCCATACAAATATAAATTTCATAAATAAGATACAGAGGTTATGCATGGATATGGAGCGTTGGGAGTAGATCAGACATGTTCATTCTATTTTAGAGTGCCTTGTTCACATTAATTTGCTGGTGCGATTTTGAAGAAAATAATTTTAAGACTCGCATTCTGCAAAAGAAGACAACAAACAGAATTAGTTTTAACACATAAAGAGGTAACCAGTATGACTCGGGCTGAAAGCAGAATAGCTGGCATGAGAAAATTATGACTCTAGCGTTCCTATGCTTGCTTGTAACTTGTAAGTACAGTTGTTTCTCGAATTCCAGAAAGAAGAAGGTTCGAGTATTCACTTTCAGATCAACTCTTCAGAGATGGAAGATAGGGAGCATCCTGCCCTTGCAGAAGAAGAAAAAAGGGCAGAAATGTGGATTGCAGGATTTTTGGTCAAACATTGTAACCATGTCTCAGCCTGCTACTTCATCCACCAATTCTCACTCTCACAATACTCACAAGAATACACTACTAAACAATGCCTTCAAGATACGTGCAATGCCTTCACTACTAAGCAATGGTGGAACATCAAGGTCGGAAACTCTCAATGGAAAGATTTCTTTTGGGCGAAATATTGCCAAAGAATAAAACCAGTAAGATCAAGGTATGGTGTTCTGGTCAATCTCAAGCTTGGAATGCAATTTGTAAAATCAAGAGCCAAGTAGATACGTGTATCTTTTGGAAGATTGGTAAGGGTGATATCGATGCTGGGTATGATAATTGGTCAGAATTAGGCCCATTGTGGAAATATCTTCCTCCTGGTAGTAAACCAAGAATGCTAAAGCTCAAAGATGCTATTCTAGACAACCATAGAAATTGGGATGGCTGGGATATTTATCTACCTGATTATGTTAGAATCAAGATCAACTCCATGATAATTGTTATTAGGGAAGATATCCTTTATAGAGCAATTTGGACTATGAACACAAGAGGAATTTTCACTATTGCTTCTGCTTGGCAACTTTTAAGCCAAAAAAAGCAAAAAAATTGGATTGATTCAATGACTTGGCAAAAAGCTGTCCCCTCAAAATGAACTTTATCGTTTGGAGGGCTTTGAGAGATGGGCTCCCCACTGATGCTAGAGTAGTTAAAATGGGAATCACTATTAAAACTACTTGTTGCTGTAGGATCTCTACTTTTGAATCTACTGACCATCTTTTTTGCAGGGGAAATTATGCTCTAGATGTCTGGAAAGTCATTTGTGGTACATTTGGAATTCCTTCCAAGGACATACTCCTCAGACAACTCTTAATCAATTGGTGGAGACAAAATACGTCTAATCCAGTGTATAGTATCATTGTCAAATATCTCCCTGCTCTTACCATATGGGAGATTTGGAAATCAAGATGTGAGGCCAAGTATGGCTCACAAAAGATAAATGTGAACAAATCCATTTCTCAGATTGCTTTCAATATTTCCCAACTAGTAAACCACTTCTTAGGCTCTAATAAGATGAAAGCTAGTTGGGAGGAGGTCTTAAAAATCATTTCAAGCAATGTTTACTTTTAAGAAATTACTTTCATCAAGTGGAACAAACCTTCTCTCTTTTTTGTTAAACTTAACACTGATGGTAGTTGCAGGAACGGTAGCTGTGGAGGAGGAGGTATTGTGAGAGACCACGAAGGCAAACTCATCATAGCTTTCTCATTGGAATTAGGACAAGGCACTAACAACTGGGCGGAAGCAGTAGCTTTACACTTTGGAATGTCGTGGTGCAAAAACAATGGCTACCAAAATGTGCAGGCAGAGAGTGATACCAAGTTGTTGGTGGATTGCATCAAGAAGAAGTCTACACCACCTTGGACAATAGCAAATGAAGTCAAAAGGCTGCAGGACCTATTAAATCCAAGTGAATACTCTATAACACATTGCTATAGGGAGATTAATCAAGTGGCCGACAAGCTAGCTTCTCTCAGTCACAAGTACAACACCAACATTTTATACTCTAAGACTGGTGAACTCCCCTCCCAAATCAAAGGGCTCATAACAACTGATTGTTGGAGTCTTCCGATTATAAGAGTCTCCAACAGAATGAAGAAGGATTTTACTTTCAATCCGCCGTGACAAATTCATATATAGGATCCTCCCATATATGTGTATAATGGGATTAGTCACACTAAATACCTACCTTAGGCATTTACCTTTTCATCTCAACTGTAATAGGTAGATCATCCCATATTCCACACGGAGGGAAGAATTGGACTGTGTTTCTTCTGCCTCAAATCAACTGTTATGGTGTGTTTTGGAAGATGAATAAAATTGTTAGTAAAAAAAAAACTCACAAAAAGAAACAGAGAAAACTTTTCCATACAAACCACCCCATTCAGGCAATCCCTCTGACGCCTTTAACTTTCCCACAACATTTTACCTTTTCCTCAGGACCACTGGCCTTCAACCACTATAAACCCACCTTGACTGCAACAATACTGCTGTAACTGATTTAGGAGCTTAATTATATGGAGCTCTGGCATTGGTATTGGTGATTTGAGAAATATTGGTATGGAATGTCTTCCAACAAGATGATGATGACAAGATTACCAAAATTCAATAATGACACCCAATCGACATATATTATAGTTTAAAAGTTACAACATCAATACTAACAAGAATATCCAAAACATCCAAAAGGCAAAATCCAGAAAACTTACGACATGTAATCGGCAATGAAAAATATTGGTACCCTTCCTAATTCAGCACCTCTCCATTTTCTTCTAGGTAAGGCAACAATTTTGTCAGCTTCCGAGCCTGTTGCGGTCAAAACAAACTACGGGAGATAACAGTTAGCATGAGACAAGAACCTACAGGGACAAGCATAACCATCATAGCTGATACTAACTTAAATTGTATGAATCAAAGAAACATGAAACCATGAGCAGATAATTTTCTCAAGAATGTACATATGCAAGCTAATTTGTGGCGATTTAGAATCATAACATGAATTATATTCATATTAGCCCTGAAGTATTGCATCCTTCTATAAGCTACATTCATATACAGACGGCAAGAGAATTCAAGCATAGTGAAAGCCAAAACACAAGCATAACCATCATAGCTGATACTAACTTAAATCATATGTATCAAAGAAACATGAAACTAGTAACAGAGAGTTTTCTCAAGCATGTACATATGCAAGATAATTTGTGGCTCAGTTAGAATCATAAAATGAATACCCCCTCCCAAGTGTTTAAGTATATTTTGGAACCAGTCTCTCCCGTATCACTATTGGAAAGAGGAAAAACGCATTATTAGGAAAGGGGATGCAACAAAGCTTCGACCATTTATCTAAATCTAGCCTGTTGGGATACAACAGGCTTATAATGAGCATGAATTTAATGCACTATGAGACAAGAAAAATACTTGAAAAAGAAGCTTAAAAGAAAACATTTACATCAACTTCATGTTAAGAAACACTTTTAAGAATTGCAGAGGTATGTTCCTAAGCAAAATTTATTAGGTGACTCAAAAAGGCTTCCTTTCTTCCTATGCAGTACATCACATCCAGCTCAAAAGTGTCAAGCCCACAAATGATCTGTCACGTCAAAGTTCATGAAGTGCAACCTTGTAAATGAGCTACCTCTTCAACCTATTCGAGAAATCTGTTAGAATAGGAGTAGTGACAAGAATAGTATATGAAATCCTACTAGGGAAGGGAAGGGAAGGGAAGGGAATGTCCTATTTGTAAATGGAATGTAATGTAGTGTCCTAGTTGGAAAAGGAGTCTACTGTAGTGTCTATAAATAGTGTATCAATGTGATAGTATATAATAATATTTCTCTTATAATTCTCATATGGCAACAGAGACTATGATCTTGGTAGAGAATTTTTTTTAAAAAAAAAGTTCCAGCAGCTGATGGGAGGTTATAACTCATATAGCCGCTCATCTAGCCAACGATTATGTTAGCAAAAGTTGGGGCACATAATTAAAAAAATTCGGATAACTGAGAAATCATCAAAGAGCAGTGGCGTACAGTTTGAAACCCCATGGTTAATGGGCCTGCCTCTCTACTCTTCTCCATTTAAGAAATTGTAGAGTTCAAAACCTAATTTAAGAAATTATTCCAAAACTAGAACTTGTCATATGATCCATATTTCTGCATGTTTCGCAATTGAAACTATCTTCAGACAGCTAACCAAAAGCTATGACCCTCAACAAGTACTATAAGAAGCAATTTTGGATGCACTTTTTCCTGTGTGTTGGGAGTTCTCTAGCAGTTCTTCAAAATTTCCATTTTTTATTCCTTTCCCAGTCAAAAGTAAAGCACACAAGGATTTTGCGTTCATCACCTCCTATGATGACATGATGCAGTAAGATTCATGCAAAAAGGTAGAAAGTTGCGAGCAGATACAGAAAGAGTAAAAATAACAAATAACAGCTTACAATTTTAATCATCATCATGCAAACCTTGTTATAAGCAAAAGAATTAGACAAGAAATAACAGGAATTGGAACTTGTATTTACCAGTGGAAACAGTATAGCCAGAAACCCACAGCTCACTAGTGGAGAGAAAAGAAACATTGCCAGTACACATGGATTTCCTGGATAGTTAAAAGATATATTAACTTTTGCAAGAAAGATGATCCATGTAACTTAAAAGAAAATTCTGAAAATGTTCAGCACTACTTGGTGTTGAAACGGAAAAATGTCACAGAAGATCTAAGAAAAAAATAGAAACTCTAAACGACAATGTGACAGCAGGACCACTCAAATTGTTGATTTGACTCAGGAGAACTTCTCTTTTTAAATGTTTACTAATGATATAAACAGGAGCTGACAACTATCAGAATGTTATTCGACACCAAAAGGTCAATTTTGTGTTAATGAGTTCACAAGCAATTAAGTCCCAGATACCAATCTCAGGAAAATAATGTAAAAATTTGGGAATGACAAAGAGCGCTCATGAGGTTTCTAAGAGACTAAGACAACTACATCATATCTTTGAACATAAACTGATAAAACAAACCATTGCAAAGAATAGAAATCGATATAAAGAAATATAGTACCAAAACCAGCAAAAAATGCCCAGTTTGATTCAAAGAAGTCCAGCCTCTTGTCTAAGCTTAGTCCAGACAGATTCCACTTATACCTGGAAAGATATGCAATTTTTAATGAACATCCATATCAACTTACTAGCAATATCAAGCTAAAAAGAAGCACTTACTCAAAACAATAGTATGCATACAACCATGACAGAAGCATAAAATTTAGAGCTTTTCCTATGTAGGGGATAAATCCAGTAACATAAACCTGCACAGTATTGAGAACCAATGGACTTTGAAGTTAGAAATTGAGGAGACGGATAAGCAAGGACATGTAAAGCAGTTCACCTCATTCGAAAAGAGAAAAAAAAAGGATCACCTCCATCAAGAAGAAAGTCAGCAAGAGGACCGAATAAAGCTGCTCCGCTATACTGATCATAACCCTGCATAAGATAAACAGCAAAATAGAACTCTCACAACTGTGAAGACACATAGCTCTGTATGGAACATATTGTTTTAAGCAAGAAAATATTGCTGTAGTGTACAACATTAACCAGAGAAAAACAGAACAATACCCTTCAAGATCAGTTGATTTTTCCCTTTGAACGGTGTTTTGCGAAGTTTGGGGCTCCTTTTGATCAGATAACTTTGTATCATGATCCCCATAATTCTCCAAAGCAAAAAACCCATATTTAGCAATATCATTGTACCTGAGTTAAAACACCGGAGGAATAAATCGTTTCAAACATAGAAGATCTAGACAGTGTCCTAAGTAAGAATGTATGCATTGTAAACATGGATGTTGATGTACGCTAACCTTGGTCGTGATCACATATTTATACCTTTACATGCTCAAGTAAGAATGTATGCATAGTAAACATGGATGTTCATGTATGCTTACCATGGTCGTGATCGCATATTTTTATACCTTTACATGCTCAATCACGAATCTTGGTTTGTTCTTTTTTGCTAAAGGATATTCTACATATTGATCGCTTACCCTTCAAGAGTCCTTTATTTTAGGTTAGATACTAGTATTTTCATGTAGCTATCAACGGTGAGTTTATAGAAATCCTATTTGTGTCGCAACACAAATTATTTACTATTGAAATAAATTGGATTTAAATAGAATATGATGGACACAGAGGGTTCATATAACTGACTCCACTATCTTAAATTGAAGATAGATTGATTATTGACACTACTATAACCCCTCCCAGACACTAAGGCAATCTTAAGTGCAACTTTAGAGACCTTGACATGCAGGGGCGTCTATAGTTTCTGTGTATTTGTATTTAAAAATCACTTAATATATATGAATAATTTATCAAGAACCTAGTGAACCGTCTTTTCTAGAATCAAGAACCCACAAACTCAATGTAATATCCTGACTCTGCCTCTATTGAAGGCTAAATACGCCTAAGATAAATCTCAATGTGATATACGTTCTCTAAATATTTTGGTAGTATTGACCCAAAATGAAAAGGCTATATATATATATATATATATATATATATATATATATATATATATATATGAAAAGGTAAAGGAAACTATTACCAGATATTGCTGAGAATAAGGCTGAATATGTACAAGGGGTAAAACCACAAAACCTGAAAGTTACGATGAAACAGAGATATTAGGCAAACACCAGTGCATAATACAGATGAAACACTGAACACGATTTTTTGTATAAATTAGCTAGCCATATTAGGCAAACACCAGTGAGTAATGAGACCTTCGTCTTCTTCAGCAGCTTGTCATGATTATTAGCATATTAGCATTAACTTTGGTTTTACGCCCCCCACCCCACCACCACCCCTTACCCACCCTCAGCATGTAGAGATGAACACTTGAAAATGGAAAAGTAACACACCTGAGTTAACTCATTTGATATTGACTTCTAATTTTCACCTTTATTCCCCACTATCATGTTAATTTATTTTTTTCAATCTATTTATAATCATTATAACATATTCTATTTAGGCTATTCAGAGTACAAGTAAATGTTATTGCCCATAGATCAATTCTGAAGCGTGAAATTTTTAATGAATGACTACAAAAGGTGTGCAAATAAGGAAGATGTGGGAACTCAATCCCATGTCAGAAAACTGCAATATTTTAAATATCTATCAAATTAGTAAAGAAAAAAATAGAATAACACGACTCACCCTAATTATTTATATTTTTAAGGGAAAAATCCATTTTTCTGTTCTAACTCGACATATGTCAATTTCTCAAAGCATAGTCAGTTTCAAATAGGGATAATTTTTGTTCAAATAATTTACGCCTAAACCCAAAAAAAGAACAAAAATATAAGTTAGGTGTCTTCCCCTCCCTCAAACACACCTCATCTTCATCCCTACATCCCATAATAATTGTTTAGATTGTATACAAATATTTTGAAAATAATATTTTTTACTTACCAAACACAATATTTTTCAAGAAATCATTTTTCATGGCAAAGCATATATATTCCATCATACCGAACACATAATTAATCATAAGTCAAACACCCCATATTTTAAAATATTCAAGTGTCATATATGTACATGGGTAACTCTTTGTTTTATTGTTGCTACGTATAATGTTGATAATAATAACATGTTATTCTTCTCATTAGAGAACATCAAGTACATGTAAAAGGTCTATCAACCTTCAATAAAATTCTAAATAATATACTAATAATAAGAAGTATTTTCATGTATCTCAAATTACTAAAAAAAACTTTCTAATCCATTTTTCCATTCATGAAAAGTACTCATATATATCATTTTCGTGATCTTAAGATAATTGACAAGTATTAATGTAAGTCTATTTCATGTTTTTATAACCTTGAAAATAATTTCACATCCGTTAAGCTACCAAATTGTATATCAACTGAATGTTTTTATATCAATTGAATGTTTTTATTTGGTCAAACGAATAAAAAAGTATCCTCAAGCATATGTTACTCCTAATCATGGATATAATTTAATATATACAATATGAGATCATCAAACAATAAGTATATACCATAATAAATGTAGTTTCTCATTTTATAAATCACATAGTGCAGAAAAATTAAAGAATGAGTAGAAAAAGTAGACTCCAATTTAGTGTCACTTTCTCATTGATATGGCTTTGGTATTGTATTCTGCCAACCTGTAGTCAATATTATTATTATGATAAATGATATTCCACCAATATCACGCAAAATCAGCATGAAAACTTAAAAATTCTTATTTTTAACATGTATGTGATGGTTAATGCATTGAAGTGTTTGTGCCTCTTCATTTTCTTCTTTTGTTTGCACAGATCATGGATTTAATATAATTTGCTTTGTAAATCCTGTTTCTCTCAACATATTAATATCTAGAGGGTTTAAATTTTATTATACTAAATAGATCCTCCATCTGGAAGAAATTTGAGTCCTATTTGTCTATGTATTTTTTTTTCCAAGAAAGGGCACTTTTTCATGTCTTTGAATTATCCGTATGGTGTGGTTGTGACGACGTACCAAACCTCTGGAGAGCCTAACAGGTTTGGTTAATCATGAAGAGTTGTGATTTGTGATGGTAATTTTCTTGGGGTTTTAATTAGAATATTTGGGACGATTAAGGTATTTAATTATTTATAAGGGTGTTTAGGTAATATAACTTCTAAGTAGGTAGTTCATGCTTTTAATATAACAAAAAATATTTACACCTCCGCAGCTGCTATAAGCCATTAGAGGACTGATCAAGACTTGTATCCGGATTCAGTCTTCCTTCACTGGAGTGGAGCTCCAACAATATACTGCTATTAAAATGTTTAGATTTCCCAAAGAAAATACACCGTAAATTTCGTCTTTGAACTCAAACCGCATCCATCTAAATTCTGTAGTGAAATTTAGTACGTAAAGGATGTCAATTTAATCTAATCCAGTTCACACTTGGGTAGCACAGATATCAGTAAAGAGTTCTTCATTCCTCTAAGCACAGATTTGGGTTTTGTTAAGCTTCTGGTAAATTTAATTAGCATGTCTACACAACTAGTTGCGTGGACTCTTGACTTTTGATGCCACACCCGTCTCGGATTCTTCAAAGATACACTACTTTTGGCGAATCCGACACGTACCGGTTGGCATATTTGAAGAGTCCGAGCAACATAGTTAACAAAAGTAGGCAACTACATTTTCAATTTTTTCATAGAAAAAATGATCTAAAACGGAAAAAGAATCCATGTTGATCACGTGATTAATGAAGAGGTCACTAGGCTCACATTGAGAAGAGTATACTCACATATATAAGTTGTACAAGTCCAACGCGTAAGAATCGATAAAACTCCAAAATACTGCTAAATGAACATGGCTGTTGTGAATTGATTAGTCGGCTATGACCAGGTAATATCCATTCCAATGCAGGGATGATAACTGATTTCAGAACAAAGATACTGCAAATGGAAAATATATTATATATCTCAAGGTTAACACTAAATTGTGCATCTTAAATTGATTTTTATAAGCCAGCATAAAAACTATAACATGATGAAAGAAAACAATGTCATTCATTCTCATATCAGAGCATACTCAAAATGTCAGGGTTGATGCACATTGAGTTAAGTGGTGTCGTCCGACACCGCTTTGTCGAAAATTTCATCAAATGTACCTATGTACATAATTCGTGGGGGAAACATATATAATATTGAATGATACCATTTGACAAGTGTATATTCCAAGATCCAGCGTACAAGCTGTTTTGTTACTTCAGAGAGGTGATATTCGAACCTCCCACGTGAATTTCTTCAGAACTCCATGACCTTATCCCCTTCTTTCAACTAAAGGCATGTAAACTTTTGTCTCCATGATTTTCTTCTTCTTTTGCCTAATTCTTGAAGTTCAAAGGGAAGTGTGATTTTCTCATGTTTCTCCTGCTGTGTTAGAGGCCTATTTTCAGCAATACTGTCAATTACAGCAAAGCTCCCCAAAATTATTATTTATTTAGTTTTGGGAGAGGTACGATATACTATTAATCTTTTAGCACAAGGGTAGTAGTGAACCCATATTTACAGTTCCAGAAAATTACCAAACATAAAAGCCTGTTTGGATTGACTTATAAGCCAAAAGTCATAATTTAGAACTGGCTTATTTTTTCTTATTTTGTCTCAACTACAAGTGCTTATAAAAACTTATTTTATGTTATTCAAACACTAAAAACTGCTTAAAAGCATCTAAAATAAGTCAATCCGAACAGGTTCATAATCCATTCTTTTTTCAATTCTACCAAATATCTCCTTATTCCCCAAGCCTTGATATCCCTTTTTAAACATTCTGCACTAAAATGTAGTCAAGACTGCCATTTTACATTATAACTCTAGTATTCTACTTTATCAATAAAACCATCTACTTGTTAACACATATTGTAAATTTGAAAGATGATGTGATTGTCTCCCAATTTATATTCAGCAAGATGGGCCTGTGATCTAATAAAACTTAGAGCAGGGTGATTAGTTTTATTCTTCTGAAGGCTTCACTCCACTCCCCTGATCTGAGAAATTTGTCAATGCGAGAGGCTTGGTCAATGTTCCCATCCCTTGACCACATGTATCTTGCCCCTTACTATGGTGAGTCTACCAAGGATGGCTCGTATTAGATTACAGAACATCAACATTACCCATGACCTACAACTGCAATTTTTCCTTCACCTCCAGACCTTGTTACATTAAAATCTCCACCTATTACCCATGGGATATCCCATAAGCTTTTCACCGCTGGTAAATTGAAATCCATAAGTCCTTCGCTTATTGTTATTATGTGGACCATAAATACCTGTGAAAATTTTTCTCCATAAAGCCTTCCAGTACTACACACATCAAACAGAATAGGCGGCATACTAATAGTCGACGCCCTTCCATGAACTTTTTCCTGTAATACTAGAATGTAACCTTAACTACACAAGCTCAATCTGCCCATTTGTTCCCGCATATATTTTTTATTATTGTTTCTGTCGATTCTTTCCACGTATGCCTGTTGAAAACACCAGATATCCGCCTTCAATTTATGCATGATTAATTTGATAACTCTGCACTTATTACTAACATTAAGGCCCCTTACATTTACAGATCCCTTCTTTGCAACCCAACTTCCTTCCATATAACAAAATTATGATTCTCAAAGATAATTCCACTGAACAATTAAGTACTTGAGAAACAGTTTACCTGTCGTCATGCAATGTTTATAATATTTTCAAATATCTAGGTGACATAAGTGCATTTGAAACCTAATATATAGTATTGTCACCACATAGAATCATCAAGACCTTTTGATTTCTCCCCTTGCATTTGTACATTGCAAGCACACAACTTTTCTAAGAGGAAACCTTTTTTTATCATTATCATGTTTGTGAGCATCATATTTCAGTCAATCAGCAAATTAGATTGAGTGGGCTATTCAAATAGAGTGTATCGATCGAAATCAACTTCATTATAATATAAACCCTGGTAGCAAACTACTAATATATTTTACTAAAACTCACGTATGGACATGCATAATACTTTTAATGAATAGTCAATAGTGAAGCTCTTTAGAAACTTGCATAAAATCATTGTATAATTATTATCAGGAAACCCAACTTTTTGGTTTTTCAATAATAATGGTGTCGGGGTATTCCACGGGTACCTCACAGTCAATGGTGGAGCTAGAATTTTCATAAGGGGTGTCAATGGTTGTAGTAACAAATATAATTATGAGGCTAGCAAGGCTTGAACACGTCACTTAAAGAATTTTCACAACACCTTAATTACTAGACTAAGCCTTTGTGTCAACAGATGTCAATATTTGTGTATATATATATATGTATGTATATATATTAAACCAAAATTTGACCTATGTAATTTTCCGGCTAATAGTGTACCCTTGGGCAAGCATGGCCCTGCCTTTGCTAACAGTTACCAAACTTTTTGGTCTCTGTGGGGGGTCTGAATCAGAATCTCCCTTGGTCTTCCTTATTGATAGACCACTAGAAAGCTAGCATTGAATTAATAACCGATTCCCAACCCAAAACAAGAGTACAATTTGAGAGAGAGCGAGAAAGAACCTTCCTAAGAAGATGAATCCATTCAACAAAAAACACTGACCGGTACGGATGGCAAGCTGTTTTGACCTACAAAATAAGCACAAGGAAAATCAAAACAATGAATAGATACGATTGAGTAATTGAAAAGGGATCGTACCTGAGAGAGTAGATGATCACACGATGGAGACAGCAAGCTTCTCTTACGCCGTTCACCCACTGCACCAACGCTTGCTTTGACTGGTTTTGAACTCTCTCCACTAATGGGCCCATGCTTTCCAATCACACGAGACGAGTCCCCAACTGATCTCACCAACCATTAGCAAGTTTTGTTATATATATAACTACAAGACCAATTTTACCTTGTATAATTATATTATAAAACTTACTAATATAAAAAAATATACCGTCAAATTAACAATTTCCCCCGTATCAATTACTAGTAACCAGTAAAGGGGCCAACAATATTTTGTTAAATATGTAAAATATAAATTTATTTCATTATTAAAATGGTCATAATTTTATTGGTCAAAATTACTATCTAGAGGTTAAAGGGTCAAAAGAAAGTTAACCTTTCACTTAAGTTGCATAAATTATAATGGTTAAAAAAAAAAAAAACTCTTAAACTTGTATGTGTTGGTAATCTATTTCTTATTATAGCATCCAGTGTAGTACCACTTATATAAAAAAAAACTTATTTTATAAAATTAATTACTAAAGGTATTTGATAAGTTTTTTTTATCTTTTTCATGTCAATTAGACTTTATTTTTTAGCCTCTTTTTTTTTTGGTTGGATAGATATTTTAAGTTATTAATTATTGTAATTTATTGTACTTGTTATGTAATTCTTAAATAACATATGTTATTTTTCATATTCCAATTTATATGACGTTGACAGAATTTTAAGGGTTCCCGATCTTTTTATATGTCTTTAAAATATTTTTAAGTTGTCAATTTTTGAGATTTATAGTAAGTTTATTTCATTTTCAAATAACATATGTTATTTATGTTATTTGAGGCATGATAGAATTTTGAGAATCAACTAGATTTTTATGTCTATTAAATATTTCAAATTATCAATTATTGTAATTTGTAGTATTATTTAAGTCAAGCCCAGTGGCTATCCCCTGAACATAAGCACGGGACCTAGGATCACGAGTTACCCCAAGCTAACCCTGAGTTGACATATCATAAGCATACTTACACAACTGAACAAAAGATACTATGTTGAAGCTTAAAACATGAGATAAGCTGAACCAATGGGGGATACACAATAAGTTTGAATATATAAATATTGAGCAAGAGTTTGAGATACTGAACTATAACTTAAACAACAAAGTTGATTATATCTATGTCTGATATAAGCCTCTATCTGACTAAAGATTTTGGAACATGCCCCAGCTAACTCTAGCAAAACTGAAATTAAAATGAAAAGTCTGAATGTAAAAGAACATGTCTATCATCATCAAAGAATGAGAAATCGCCATTAATACTGTTGAATATGGATCGGGGACCAATGTACACGTGATATGAACGTTGAGGACCTGAACCTACATTACGAAAAGATATAGCATTGAGTATGCATCAATACTTGAAAGGTATTGAGCATGCATGATAGGATAATGTTGAACAAACATATAATTGAACAAAGCATATTGTTCAATAGTATAATCTGAACATGATAAAGATACTGAGATATACTGAAAATGAGCTAAACTGAATGCAATGACCAAGTGCATAACATGCTGAGACTAGCTAATGAAAATGTAATTGGTAACCTGATAAATACACTAGAATCTCACTGTGAGAGCTACTATTAACCGACCTTAAATCACGTGAGCTAAACGTGGAGTCGAATGTATACGCCCCATTGAAAGGACCCAATATACCTTGCTAGGGATATACATGCATGACTAGCATGAATACTAAAATGATTCCCAACATAAAGGACTTATAAACCTACGGGGGCACGTATTTTTTGGAGTATAAGAGTGACTGACCCTAGTCCAACTCGGTGTTAAGCCTACTCTCAATAGGAATTGTTTTCAATACAAAATAACTGAAATATATTGGATAGCTCAATATTCTGACATGCTAACTAGAAATGCAACATTAAAGTGTTGATAATTAAACATTTGAAAACTGAGACATGTTTATCTGTTTATCTGTCCTAGCTAGTGTAATTCATGAACTAAACAAATCTACATCACTAGGGTTTTAAATTTCATGCAAGGAACTAAGCAACATTGTTGAGAGAACATGATAATCTGATTAAGAATACACTATAACAATTACATGAAATTCTAGAAGCCCTATGTCTAAGCAATATTCAGGGAATCAAGATTCTGACTGAAATCTAGAAACTTAGTGGATGAAAGGAATCCATTAGTAAAGTCCCACATACCTAGTGACAATATTCATGGAGAAATCTTTTGATTTTGGGTCTGGAATTGGAGAAACGTTGGTGTGTTCTTGAGAAAGCTGTCACCTGATTTTTCCTTTTTGCTTTAAGTCTGATGATTTTTTGGTGAATGAATCGCTTAGGGTAAGTTCTGACTAAGTTACTAGGCTCAAACTGATCAAAATCATGTAGTTTAGGGGTTAAACGATGTTGTTTAAGTGTTCAACGCATAGTGAAAAAGACCAAACAACCCCTGACTTAAATCTTTCAAGGCGAACCACAACTTCAGTAAATGGATCTTCTTCTAAACTTGAAATTGATTATTGATTATGATTAATCGCGATTTCCTATGACTAATTAAGTATAGATTGTTGAGTAATTGATGTTGATTAATGGTGATTTCGTTTGATTCATGTCCTTTCCCCAATGCCCCCAAATCTTGGATCTTTCTCATAAATTGGTGGGAATTGATGAATGTATTGATTAATAGACTTGTTTAATCTATCTAATTCGTTCATGGACGGCCTAGGGTAATGTATTGTTTGGACTAGATCTATTTCTTGAAGAATTTGGGATGAACCCTTTCCCCTTAACCATAGGTTATGAATTGAAGTTAATTGGGATAGTGATGATGCAATTGACCTAGTTAGTGCATTAATTATTATTGGATGATGTTACTACCTATTATTGGATGAAGTTGGTTGGTTGATGGTAAGACCATGATGATTGCTTTTAAAGGAGATGAGGTAAGTCTTTATTATCCTAAACCTCTACTTCAATTATGATGGTTGTACTTGGTGATGAAGTTCAATTGAAGTATATCTTGTGATTAGATTAAGTAGGTTTGGTATGATGATGAAATTGAAATGTATTGATTATATGATTATGAGATTATGCTTAAGATGAAATGATATAAGGTTGGTTATGAAGTACCTATGTGCCTTATTATATTATGGTGATGTTAATGTGCTAATCTCAAATGTGAAGGGTTGTATTGAAAAGATTTCTCTTACAATTCTTATTGAGTTAACGACATGACTATATAAGAAGCTATTCTCCTATGACTTAAACTAAGTTATGATTGTTAAAAAAAAAGATATTTCAAAAGGGACTCTAGATTAGCACTAACTGAAATAGTAGTGAGGAGTGTCCTATCCGAAGTAAGGAAGGTAGGTTCACTATTGAACTTATGAGATTGGAGACTATAATGCATGTATCATAAAGAGGGTCCCAAAAACATCTCCTAGTTTTTGAACTATGTTGTCCCCATAGGAATACAAGCTAGTGGATCCACATCGATGCTATTTTCATCTTTTGGTACTACCTTGGAAGTAGTCCACCTTCATTCGGTGTGGGGTTCCATGACACGAATTCCACATTAGCTCATGTGGTCTATGTCGATTAAGGAAAGATGTTCCCAAATGTAAAATGAAGTAATAAAGTGAACTATAACTAGGAGGACTTAAGGGGTTTAACTTAGTCTAGGTAGAGGTATGAGACTCTACCTATACATTGCACTAGTTGCCCTTGAGGGAAATCCTAGGAATTGATTCTTATGTGTTATGCTCTTAAGAGATAAATGTTATGCTTATGTTTATTCTTCATGTTAATGATCTATATTGCTAAATGTGAGGAAGAATACTTATAATGATATGATATGTGAAGTTGGATATTATTCATGATCCTTTGGCTAGTTTGCTTGGTTGAGTGAGGTTATGGGGCTTCACTTGACCATTACACAAGTAGAATTGGTGAAGGTTTATGTATAATGGTTTTACTTATGTTGTAATGTTATGGACTCATGAATATACTTAGTCGTTATGACATGATGTTAGAGTTACTTTGGTTATGAATTCTATTATGCTATGTACATGATGACTTGGCTTAACTTGAATAGGTTGTTCTTGTGTTGAATATGTTTGTATCATAAGGAATATGTTATTATTGTCTTATATGTGATCTTGGGTTGTGCATAAGGCTTTTAAAAGTAAAATGGCATGGTTTTATCAAATGTCCCTTTTTAGCATGATTTCTACGTTGTGTGCGCATATGTTTCCATAATTTGTACGAATGATGTGCTAACCCTATTTCTCCCTTTTTCCCCAACATTTTAGGTTCCGATCTTTGAAGGGTCCGTGACAATTTTTGAAGGAAGGCTTGGATCATTTCTCCAAGTGTGAGTATGTCCTCAAGTTCCGAGGATGATGTCATTTCTTACTCTATCTATGTAGCATTGTTATAGTCTAATGAAGATCATTCACTCTTGTTGTTTCAAGATATTATTGTAAGCCCTAAGTGTCATTTATACATTGTGTAAGGGCTATGCTCATATTGTGCTATTCCGTAGATGGTTTAATATGAGACATTCCTTTTAAGACTATATTGTGTATCTTATATATGTGTGTGTGTGTGTGTGTGTGTGTGTTCCATAAAAGTAGAAGACTATGTAATCTTCTTATACGAGGAGTCTATGTAAACTTGCTACGAATATATTTTGTGTAAGCGATACGCCTATGTAAACCTCATAAACTAGATGTAGATGAAAAATTTTAAATTTTCTGCACTTTTAACCATTGAATGTAATGATGAATGCTAAGATGCTAGTCTTAGTCGTCTCCGAGGACGATGACGCCAATTATGTCTAGGGGGTGCTCCCCAGATGTGACATTCTATCCTTCTACCACGAGAACCTGTAGGGCTCGTGTAGTGGTGCACGGCCCGTGAAGGGTCCCTTGGTCCACCTTTCTTGGGTTGGGTGTGAACCTCTAAAAGTTCGATGGACTGTGGTTCCATTCACAATTCGCGAACCCTGTCGTGGTTCACCCATTTTTCTAGTGTTCTAGCCTGATAAGTTTTGAGGTGTTACAATTTGTGTATTCGCAAATTTATAAAAAAAATATAAGACAAAAAATTAAAATGGAAAATAAAAA